ACATTTCTTCTACGTCGATTGTGATTTATCGAAGCCCCGACACCACACATGTGCACGCAGAATGTATGATGTGTCGGTGAAACTTGTGCCGCTGAATTATCTTTACCTTTTGATGACGATGTGTGTGTGTGTGTGTGTGTGTGTGTCGTATCAAACATCAAATCTAATTTAAACCAACACAACGATTTCTCACCGTAGCTCTCTTTGCATCGTTTTCTCTGTACACAAATGGAAAACATCTATTCCAAAGCGACAGACATCAGAATTCTATCGACTGTCTGGACGGTTTGCGCTTTCTCAGCATGTGCTGGATCATTTACGGACACACGTATTACATGGAGGTGGTCGGTGTCAAAATAAATCTCACACAAGTGCCGCGAGTGAGTGTTTGCATTTTTTTTCTCTTCCGATAGAATTTCCCTTTTACGTTGAATCATATCACGCGATACGCATGAAATCAGCATCGAGGTCGGTTGACAATGCGTGCAAAATTTTACCAATTCCTGTCGAATCGAATCGCGCGGCCGTTGACGAAGTATGATTTTTGTCGCCGAAAGATGCATTACGATTGGAGCAACATGCTGGTGCTTAACGCGAACATCGTGACAGACACGTTTTTCCTGATAAGCGGCATCCTGCTCGCTTACACCGAGCTGTCGAGGAAGGAGCGAAACATCAACTGGCGCTTCAATGCGATCGACCGTTACGTGCATCGTTACGTCAGGTATATTCGTCTCGATCAACTTTCTCACACACACACACACACACACACACACACACACACACACACACACACACACACACACACACACACACACACACACACACACACACACACACACACACACACACACACACACACACACACACACACACACACACACATATGCGCGCGCTTACGTGCTACACGTACGCACGCACACGAGTCTGTCGAGTAGACAAACAAATTTACATTTATTCTTCCGACTCACCTCCACTGATCACCTCTTATCGATACCTTTGGTTAAGCAACGACTTTTTACTTCAAAAATCTCTCTTCTTTTTCGTCAGATTGACGCCGGCTTATGCGATGATGATTGGTTTCTACGCAACTTTGTTCGACAAATTTGGTACTGGCATATATTGGAACACCTGGGTTGGTCTCAACAAAAATATCTGTCGTGACAATTGGTGGACCAATTTGCTCTACATCAATAACTACGTCAACGTGGAGAACATTGTGAGTTAATTGATACCGTTTTTATCTTGATACTTCTCTTTGGCATCGTGTAGCATCTTGCTGTAATCTTGATTGCTACTATTTATTGTACGTCTCAGGCACAACTCAGTTGCTGCTCTGTCTTATTAAACGATTAACAGTTTCTCTCTTCGTATATTTTTTCATACATCCTGACGCGAACTGATGCGAATAGCGAGATCGCTAAAGAGAGGACAGTCTGCAAAAACTATCGAGTGCGCGCGTATTCGCGCGAAATTATTCTTTCGCTTTGAAAATATTGCCGCACCATTCACACTATTCTTCTTTCCTCCATTGATTTATTATCATCTCAGATACTCGCTTTTTTACATACTCTACGAAGATACAACTCTTTTCTTACGTTTGCTTCTAGTGCATGTCCCAATCTTGGTACCTGTCAACCGACATGCAACTTTTCTGGCTGTCGCCGCTTATTCTGTACCCTATGCTCAAATTCAGGAAGCTCGTCTTCGCCATTATATTCGGTCTTGCCTTGTTTGTCTCGATATTATTACCCTTTGCTGTAACTTATATTTACAGTCTAACGGGCACAATGCTCTACTACAAGCAGTGAGTATAGAATGTCAATAGCATTTTCTTTCAGAAAATATGTTTCGGCTGAGTGTGTGTGTGTGTGTGTGTGTGTGTAAAATATTTGATAGTTATCAAGCATTATAATCGATTTTCGCTTTTATCATTTTGATTCGGTTTTCTCTGCGAGAATCCTTCTCTTTCGGTATGATATTCGGCGAGTGCAAAAGTTTTGATGGATTTCATCATAATAAAAAAATAATGTGGACAAAGTAATTTTGTTAAAATTAATTATTCATCTTATCAAGTAACCGTCATTGTTTTTTTATTACCTCTTTAGCATATTAATTATGCATCTATATTTATACGAATGCTGCTATAAAACTCATCGTCAGTCACATCTTTGAAGGATCCATCAAAACTTTTGCACTTGCCCAATTGATATGCTCTCGCAGCTTTCCTCTTTTCGTCGGTGTCATTTTTATTTTTTATTATATCGATATCATCATATCGGCTTGATTTACAAAATGATTTTTCACCAAGTTTTATAATCTATGATCATCTCATGATATGTGTCATAAAAGTTCAAGTGAAGTTTTTCATATTTTGCACTTTGTTTTTATACCAGTTGGTCAGTTACCAAACAACCATGAAGACTTGTGCGACTTTAGAACTAATACACTAATTGATTATTATATATTATGTTGACTCTATAACAAAAAGTCGCGCAAAATTGTTTGGCTATCAGACGTTAATTAAGATGGTGTCAACGGGATGTTGTGTTTCACAGACAGGACGATGTAGTCAATGTTTTCCTCAAGATTTATACAAGGGTCTACAACAGATTCGGTTCTTACCTTATCGGGTTAGGTCTCGGCTACTTGTTGCACAAGACACGATCTTGCGACATTAAATTGCATGCCGTAAGTATGCTATTTGCGCTAATAATTTTAGTACTTTCATTTTAACGTATAACACACACACACACACACACACACACACACACACATCCTCAATGTTCCAGTCACAAAAGCACTTGGCGTGCGAAAGAATTGTGCTATCATACGAAGGTTCTGTCTTTATCCATGCTCTGCAATTTGATAAATTGTTGTTTCGTAAAGATATCGCGATCATCACCATCCTCATCCTCATATAAATATATTCCGTGTGTAATAACACGTTAAATAATACACGTCTTGTGCTTGCTTCTGTTAACTAACTATTAAACGCATCTCGTCTTTGAGGAGAGAAGAATAAATCGTGCGCTACAATATTGTTTCGTACACGTTATGCACAGTGGCATGTAACTTGTGGCTGGCTCGTGACAACTGCGGCGGGCTTGCTGGTCGTTTTCGGACCACGTAATATGTACATGGACACTTACGTATACAATAGGCTGGAAGCGAGTTTCTATGCCGGTTTCCACCGACAAGTCTTTGTGTTGGCGATTTCTTGGATCATCTTCTGCTGCGTGCACGGATACTCAGGTGATCGTCGTGAGATCAAGATGATGACGAAGAAACTAAACACTGCGCTACAATTATTTGTCTCTTTTCAAGGTCCCGTGAATCATTTTCTCTCTTGGCATGGATGGTTACCGTTTCGCAAATTGAGCTACTGCGCTTATCTCTCTCATTATGTGTTTATGCTGTCCGATATCGGAAGTGTTCGAACCAGTGACATTTTAACACCGATGAACGTGGTGAGTACGAAAGTGTAGGGATACTCGGTAGATTTCACAACAGGGATAATTAGGTGGGAAAGAAAAGAAAAGAAAAGATCAAGATCAACTGATAAATGAGGATGAAACAATTGAGCCAGTCGTTTACAATTTTCTTAAAAACGTTATGAAGCGTTATTCTCGTTAGGAAAATCGCGTTATGAAAATCAATTTCGTTATAATGCACCTCGATCTGTCCGCATATTTTATATGCAACAACTTGATATCTTAATCTACTACCTCTGAAACGTTAATTCTCGAATAATAGTCGAGATAAATGGCGAGAATGCGAGATGATGAGCTTGCCGAACCTGCGAAATGATGAGCTTCGTTTCAATTGTGTCAGGCACGTGCGTTTTTTGCCAATTTGGTTTTCACGATGATGCTGTCCGTGCTGTGGACCCTCTGCTTCGAGATACCCTTCATGACTCTCGACCAGATTCTTTCGGGGCGCGGAAAAACGAAAGCGTGGAGTCAGACGAAACGTTACGGTTCCGTGGAATCTGGAAGAGACATTTGCCAATCGAGAGAGAAACCATCGGTCGCGGACGACAAGCTTAACTTCGACACAGACTCTATTACAGTCAGCCATTACAGTGTTATGGGGAATGTACTAGAGAAGTGCACTACAGAGAGTCAGCTTAACGAGCACACAGAGCACGGCGTCAACGAGGAGACAGAGAAGGATCACGGTCAAGTTTATGCCATTAGTTCGAATAATCACGAGCGCGACAAGTACTCGAATGTAAACCCCGATAAGAGAGAGATTAAGAGTTATCTTAATTTTTATCAGTTCTTCAACGAACGACGGAAAATGACTTCATTTGGGAGAGAATTAGGATCTATTGATACCGGTCCTGCTACCTGCAGAAATTGACGGCGTAAAATCGCGATTGACAATTGAAATTGGCTTTTTTTTTAACATGATGGAACAACTTGGACACTCTTGCATCTCAAGTTTAATGGCTCTCGATGAGAGAGTTTCTTTTTCTAGAGAATTTGATTAATTTTCGGGAATTAAGTTCTCTCTCTTGACTGAGAGAAGTAATATTTTTTAATTGATGTCAGGCAGCGTATTCGTAAGATTGATAGAGAAGAATTGCTATCTCAGCAGTGAATTGAATAGTTTCGGATATATCTGGATATTGTGATATTAAAAATCGTGGGTAATATTCATTTACTTTATTTGTAATTGATATTCTTAACAACGGATGTCGTATCAACTATTTTGGTTTTTAATTTTTCGAGAGAGAGAGAGAGAGAGAGAGAGAGAGAGAGCGGGAGGAAGTGAGAAAATGCTATACGCACTAATCACCGCTGCTACGAGATAGTATCTAATATTCTGACTACCTAATATTGAATACTGATTGACCACTATTCGATAATATTGTGGCCGTTGAGCCACAACAACGTGTTCGCAGTGATACGCCTTGTGAAATATAATACAATCTGGAAATTCTCCCTCCCCCTTCCCTACGAAATCCAAATTTATCTTTTTCTCTACTTGTATCTTTTGTGCTTATATATCTTTCTTTTTATATTCTTTTCTTTCTTTTCTTAATTAAGAGTAGCATGATTAATAAGATATTAGCGTTATTAGTATCTATATTAGCTTATATACATATATAGTAGAGATGTGCGAATCAAGAATTTTTATGTCGGTTCGAATCGAATTACATTAGATTCGATTTGATTTGATTCGATTCGATTCGAATTCGAATAGTTCGCACATCTCTGATATATAGTAGAAAATTTGCACAAGAGACATATAACTTAAATGCATATGAGTACAATATTACCGATTTATCAGTTTGAGTCGCAGTATTATTAATTTGAGAAAGACGGAAGCGTTTGAAGAATAATATATTTTTCTTTCTTTTTTTTTTTTTTTCGAGACAAGATATCACATTTGTCGCGTTATCGTAAATATACTTTGAAGCTTCTCAACATCCAGTTCCAGTATCGTAACATACTATTTTTTATCCTTTCATTATTTTATTTTTAAGCTTTTTATGTCTATTACCGATTACCAGCTACTTTAGTAGCTGGTGGACACAGTTATGATTCAGTGCCTTACATATTGCTCATTTAGCAAGATATCATAAGAAAGATTAACTGCCAGTTTTAAGTAAATACAGATAAGTACGAGAGCACATATACGATTGTAATAAGATTTAGTCGTTATCCAACTTGGACACAATGATTCGCAAGCACAATTTCGAAATAAAGCTTATATTGCCAATAATTCGTCTGACTTGTTTATTTAGGTCACTGCGACCTCTCTCATATTTCCACTCTTTCACACGCGCGACGCAGATACACGTATTGTGGAAGAAGCTTGAGGAAGAAGCGACCTGAGAGAACAGATTCGAGTGCGGCTTAACGGTCTGAAAGTGAGCCGAGGAAACAATGCATAGTCTGTCCTGGCCCATGTAGGTGTAATCGATACCACGGTCCGATTAAACAAGACACTACGAGAGAAATTTGTCTTTCACGCCACTTTTTGTGAGTAGAAGAAGGTCGAATGCGTCGAGACGATATTTGAAAATCGACCGATTGAAACTGCGAACACGATTGCATGCTCGAGTGAATAAGCAAAAGAATCAAGCTGTTATATATTATGTAGTATATGTGGGATTTTTCATGATATCATTAGCAAACAAAGGGTTGACGCAAGTGCGTTGTCGCGATAGACCCCCACGGGGGATTGACACGTTCGTCGTCGTGGGAAAGAAGAACGCTCTCTGCTTTTCAGAGAACCCCCGATGCGCGCTAAAGTATCGTTTACGTTGATTTATTGCCAATCCTCAAATTGTTCACTTTGTTGCATTCGCGTCGCAAGAGCGAATCAAAGTGAAGAATTAAACGTGTTGCAGACGTTTAACAGATGGACAGTGGTGAATAAATTAATGAAATGAATATCGGAATATTGTGACAAACGTAACGTGTCGAGTCAAGAAGGCCGTTGGAAGGTCTTTCTGCACATTCAATTAATTAGTCGAACAGTTCAGCCATATACCGTACCTAAGAGTAAATCTCACCCCATCCATTCTGGGTATATTAAAGGAAAACCCTCCTCCTGTTAAAGGATTGATCGTAATCGGTCCGATTGCATGTTTGTTCGTTCGGACGGACGGGCGCGCCCGTCCATATCTATGTGGCATCCACAGCGAATGTATCTCTCATAATTGCACAAGAATCGGTGGCTTGCCGCGTCGTTACGTAAACTGAGGGAGGGCGGGAGCACTCGGGAGCCAACCGGGCACAGGTTACGCGCGTCCACGTTCCGGTGGCACCCTGTGGCGACCTACACAGAGAGTCGATTTCATCCGTCGAATTGGTATCCTTGGGGCGAGAGACAACGTGTGGTCGACATCTGCGTGCCCACCGTTTTGCCGCAATGAAAATGTAACTACGGCTGCTGGCAGAGGGTTGATGATATTTGTCTATTTTCCCCCACGCTGTCTCCCTCTCTCTCTCCTTCTCTCTCTCTTTCTCTCTCTCTCTCTCTCTCTCTCTCTCTCTCTCTCTCTCTCTCTCGTTTGATCTTTTTTTCACGCGTTATTAGCATGCACAATGAGGACGAGTAAATGAATCGGCAGGGAAGCATTGTATTCCAGATGCAACGAATGGAAGATTCAGCGTTGCAAGTATCATACGTAGCTCGATTTATCGTCTTGATTACGTTCAATCGGGATCCAAAACGTGAGTCTCTACTCGTTTCGACCAAACTATTGAGAGAGAGAGAAAGAGAGAGAGAGAGAGAGGGGGAGAGAGAGAGAGAGAGAGGGGGAGAGAGAGAGAGAGAGATATGAGATTGGATAGAAAATCCGAAAATATTGTAAAAAAGCAAAACTGTCGTGAACAAAGTCCATCTCGGCTCAAAGTCTGAGGATCTCGGATCACGACCAAAAAAAAGTTGCATAATTTGCGAGGGAACGAGAAGCGGAAATGTCGCGGCGTCGCGACTTGTTTCCGTGGCGCGTTCTCCAATTTCGAAAAAGACACGAGGTCGAAGCAGCCGTCGGAACCTGTGCGAAACGATCCCATATCGTTCGGGATAAAATTTAGGCTCGCCGACTGGCGCCGACCTCCTTGGAGTGTGATTCCGGTGTCCCCCCACGATGACATCCGATGTTGCAAGAGGATGCCGAAAGATGTTCCTTTTCGGTGGGGAGTCAGCAGGACTGCAGGACTAGCACGCGCGTCGCGCCTTGCAATGAAATGTAACCGTTGGGCTTGGGACGTTGCGACAACGGAGACGCGACGACACGTTCTCTGTGCTCTGTGCTCGGTGTTACCGCTTCGTCGGTACGCGCCGCAATGTACAATAAAAGGCCATCCTAGGCATCCGAAGGATATCTCGCACGCACATGGAGAAATCCTCTCGTGCTTTGGATACTTCTCGCTACACAAGCGCGCTACCCGCGTTATAGACGATTTCCCGCGAAAGAAATGACGAGTTGATTCTCCTCGTTAGCATCGTTATTTCGCGAATGACAACTTTACCGTGTTTTTCGGAATGATCGCGTTACAGATCAATATTTCCTGTCATTCCTATCAGAAATCAAACCTTCATTCCTTGTGTTCGTTCCGTATATGGTGAACAACTAATTTTACAAATGTGGTGTGTAACATTCTGTACGTTCTACGGTCGGGTCTTTCGCACAGGTTATCGCACTTGTTATCCATTCCTTGATGTGCTCGTTTCTATCTTTCCGCGAATTGTATTATTGTATAATCTCCGATAATCACACATCTTATCTATTACTTTTTATTTTTTCTTTTTTTTTCTGTGTCCGATTTACGCGCTCAGGAAAACTGTTTGATTATTTTTTTTTTTTCTTCTTTCTCTCCATCAATCTACACGCAAAGGTTCGGTTTTTTTTTCCCGGATTATTAGTTTACTGAAGGCAGGATAGACCGAGAAAGGAAGGACAAGTGGAGACAAATCGGCGCTCGGTGCGAGCGTGAAATACGAAGAGAGGCGCCTATAAAAAGGTTCAAGTGGTTGCACATGAGAACAGATTTTTCGGCTACCTACGTTCGAACGATTGTCCTCGCTTCCTCTTCACGTCGTGTGAATGCTGAAGAAAACCGTAAATCGTAAGCGCGCAGAGAGACAGGGAGAGAGAGAAAGTGAGAGGGAAATTTAGCAACGAGCGGACTTCCTCGCTAGCGCGAGGAAAAGTCCAATTTCAGCGTGGAAGGACAGCGTTCGTTATCTCCTTCCGCTTATTTTCTGTCTTTGCGCGGTCAAGCGCGGCATAGACAAACGGATATAAGAACCAATCGAGAACTTTGGTCGAGAAAGACTTTGCGCAGTGGTCAGTTAGAAAAAAACAGAAAGAAAGAGGAGAAAAGAAAAAAGAGAAAAAAATAAAAATAGGTATCATGTTACACACGTAAGGGATCCGAACGATTGACGCCCACCACCGGTACAGCGATCTCAGCGAGTAATACGAAACGAGGGCGTAACCGGCTATTTCTTCTTCTCTCCATGTCGAGAGTTCGTCGCATCTTCTTTGATTCTGTCGACTTTACATCTTTACGTCTAATAGCTCAATTAATAATCGTTACGCGACAAACACGCGACTACTATTCGATTACTATTAAATCGTACATTAATCTCGACAGTTATCTCGAATCGACCAAAAGTTTCATCATCCGTGGAACTTCGTTCCGTGACTTCGAAACCGTGATCTTCGGTGAAAAGCAAAGAGACGAGAAAAACAACAAGCGACATTATATTTAAGTCGGTAAGATGGTATTTTAATTTAGTAGTCGCCGTAAGATTAGTAAAGAAAATGACCAACTGATCTTGTTATTATATTGCTACGTTCGCTCCATCGTCATCATTACTTCGATTGTGGAGGGAGGAAGGGAAGGAGCGAGAGAGAGAGAGAGAGAGAGAGAGAGAGAGAGAGAGAGCTGCGCGCGTTGTCAGCAACGACATATTTTACCATACTGAACTTTAAATTGACGACATGTCGACGATGTACATATCAATGGAAAGAAAGGACAAGGGGAATAGAGTCGCATATTGCGAGAGTAAGCGGCAGTAGCAGTTATTACTGCTTGAGAGAAAAAGCGGATAAAGCTATTTGAATCTGTAACCGATCCTCTCGCTTGTTTCCAGTCGCTTTACCTTCGAACCCCATTTCAGCGTTAATAATTACAGCGGCTCTTGCAAAAGAAATATTCTTATCTCCCGAGATTTTCAAGAGACTACACGAGATATTTGGAGTTTGATAGATTGATTCATTTCTGGTAATTGGATTTCGAAATCGATTCGCTTTTGTAAAAACTGGACAAATTCTATCGTAGAAGGATCTGCTTCGTCGTGTGGCGGGGAAACGATGAGTCCGTGATGAATCATCACGCACGCCGACTCATCTTGATCGAAATGGCGATCCTGCTCGATAGCTCGTGATAAAATTAGTTCGCCGCTGCTGCGTTTTCCCTTGGAGAAACACATTTCATTGACTCTCTCGATATCAACAACGATTTCT